CAAATCACTACCATTTATCTTGGAATGTTTCTGAAGACATTCTACTCTTGTTAACTCTACACACTTCTGTGCTTGGATCTCCATTGCAGTGAGAAACAGTGCCAACACAGAGGCTTTGTTTTAGAAAATGTGATCCTTTAGTGGTATGCCTTAAGTTGAGTTTCTCTTCTTTCAAAACTAAGGCTATTCCTCCTTTCAAATGGCAGGTTCTTGAATGAGTGAATAACAGAGTCACAGAAATTGAAAGGCGGTAATAGCTTTGACTTTCCAACACACCTTCTCCAGCACAATCTTCTCTACTCTCATCAAGTCTGTGAACCTATACTGGCTTATTTGGATCAAGTCAGTTGCCAGTCCTCTCTTCTTCTATTGATTTTTACAGCCAAGTAGAAACAATTCAGTCTAGCACACCCAAGGTGCTAGGGCTGTATCTTCATTTTGGACAGGAATCTGTACAGTAAATTCACAGCTAGAGAAAATGTCTTGGTGTTGAAGCCAAACAACTGAGTTAGACTAAGATCTTTTACCTCAGTCTGTTAGTCTTGAAATCGTCCTGAAGCTGTTATCATGTGCAGTTCAATTAGTCTCAAGCCGCAGGCCTTCGGCTGACATTTCGACTCCTGTTCCAACAGGATATTCATTTGGTGTAGCAATTTCTGAGAGTCAGTTGTGTTGGGGTCCATAATGAGTTACCTTATTAGTATAAGCTGTTAGGTGTGGTCCAAGGGGCTCACCAGGAATAACACTCTGTTTCCAGGAGAAAGGTTTAGGGCTACTGCCTGGGAAAAGGACAAAGGCCTGTCAAATTCCTTATTACACAAGTCTTTAAAAAAAATCACAATGAAGCTCTGATTGTAATTGAATGGAATGGATATAGTAAGAATTTATGATTGTACATTATTTATCATTCATATACAAAAGCAAAATATGTATGTTCTCCCTTTACTCAGAGTTTTGGGGGCAGATCCCACATTAGAATGAATTCTAAAGCTTTTGCTTATTCTTCTAAAGTTTATTTTATAGGGTATTTCCCCTCTTCATTGTTATTATTGTCAACATTAAAGGCATATTCTGAGGTTATTTTCTTTATGCTTTCTTTTATTGCTTTTTAAAAACAATTCTAAAATTGCAAAATATTATTATTTGAAAAAATGAAGTATAAAAAGTACAGTAATCACATAGTTTCTACATTCTATCATGTGCCTTTTATTTATCTAATGATTCATATGTGGTGTTTTACAAGTCACAACATACACGTAACTTTTTAATGGTTACTGTTATTAGTTATTGTCATTAGTTATTTTTGTGACATCTTTTGACATATTCCAATACTCTGTGTGTTATTGCAATAGCGTATTTTGTTCTTTTTCAGTATAAATCATTGAACGGGTTGATTTTTACTGTAACCTTTAATTTAATGTTATATGGTATTAATGTTCTCAGCCTTGATTTTTTTTGTTTACATTTGCTCCTTTTTAATCCCTTTTGCTTTCTTTTTTCTCAACTACTATCTTAATGTTGGAGTTCTCTAGGGTTCGTTCGTTGCTCCTTTCTCTTGTCTTTATACTCATTCTCTTGGCAGTATAATCTCTTTAATACCATTTATATACTGTCAACTCCCAATTTTAAATCTCTGGTCCAGACCTCTGTCTTAAACTCAGTCTCATGTGTCTATCTGCTTTAACTTAATTTCTGTTTCCAAAGTCTAAAGACACTTTAAGTTTATTATGTTCAGAAATGAACTCCATACTTTCATATTTCGCTACCTAGACCTGCTGTACCCATGGCCTTTCCCATCACTGTTGATGGCTACTCCATCCTTCCATTGCTCACACCATAAACTTTGAAGATATGCTCGTCTCATCTCTATTACATTACATATCCAATCTGTCAAGATATCCTCTTGGCTTTTCTTACAGAAGACACCTAGAATCTGACCACGTTACTGTAACTCTATTGATATCTCTCTGGTCTGAAACATCATCTTTCACCTGAATTACTACAATAATAGGTCCCTTTGCTTCTCCCTTTGCTTCCTAACTTCCAATATTTTCATGAATCAGTAATTAGATATCACTCCTTATAACACTTGTGGCTTCACCCCACTAAGAGTAAAAGCCAAATTCCTTAGGAGGCCTGTAATACTTAAGTAACCTGCTTATCCTTTACCTCCTGTCTTCTACTGTTCCCTCCTCTCCAATCACACTGGCCTTCTTGCTATTCTTGAAACATACCAATATGCTTCTACATTTAGGCTTTTTTTGGGGGGGGGAGCTCAGAATGCTCTTTCTCCAATTATCTAAGTAACTTCACTCTTTTTCAAATCTTTGCTTAAATTAAATGTTAACTTATTAACGATTCCTATCTTTGATGTCACCAACACTCCTGACCTCTCTTACCTGCTTCTCTTTTCTTGTAGCACTTAGTACCTTATAACATACAATAAAACTTACTTAATTAGCATTTCTTTTCTGTCTCTCCCAAGAATATAAGGTCCATGAAGGTAAGGATCTTTTTTGCTTACTATGATATCGAAAGCATCTAGAACAGTACCTGTCACAAGTTTCAATGAATGTTCTTAAAAAAAGCAACTGTAAGAATTGGAGGTTATTTCAGTGTCTGTCTTATTCATACATATATAAAATTATAACTGAGTTCAAGTACCTCCATAATTTCTCCTTTTAAAAAAATTTACCTTTTAATTATACTTCACATATAATATTATATTAGTTTCAGGTATACAACATAATGATTAGACTCTCTTTCTCTCTCTCTATATATATATAAATATATATGTGTGTGTGTGTATATATATATGAGTTTGTTTCTGTTTCCTTTGTTCATTTATTTTGCTTTTTAAATTACACATATAAGTGAAATCATGTGGTATTAGTCTTTCTTGGTCTGACTTATTTCAGTTAGCAGAATACCCTCTAGGTCCATTTATGTTGTTGCAGATGGCAAGATTTCATTCTTTTTTATGGATGAGTAATATTCCATTGTATTTGGGTACCATATCTTTATCTAATTGTCCATCAGTGAATGGTTAGGTTGCTTCCATTTCTTGACTATTGTAAATAATGCTGCCACAAACATAGTGGTGCATATATCTTTTTGAATTGATGTTTTGGATTTCTATGATTAGATACTCAGAAGTGGAATTGCTGGGTCATATGATAATTCTATTTTCATTTTTCCAAGGAAACTTTATACTGTTTTCCATAGTGGCCGCCCAATTTACAATCTCACCAACAATGTACAAAGGTTCCTTTTTCTCCATGTACTCACCAGCACTTGTTGTTTGTTGATTTTTTTATAATAGCCATTCTGACAAGTGCAAAGTGATATCTCATATGATTTTAATTTGTAGTTTTCCTGATCAGTGACGTTGAGCATCTTTCCATATGTATATTGGCTATATGTTCTCTTTGGAGAAATGTCTATTCAGGTCGTCTGCACATTTTTTGATCCGATTGTTTGTTTTTTGGGGGGGTTATGTTGTATGAGTTCCTTATATATTTTGAATACCTTCTCCCATTCATTGGGTTATTTTTTCATTTTGTTGATGGTTTCCTTTGCTGTGCAAAACCTTTTTAGTTTGATGTCTTGTTTATTTTTTTCTTTTGTTTCCAAACTTTTCTGAGGAGACATATACAAAAAATATATTACTGAGAGTGATATTTTCTTCTAGGAGTTTTATGGTTTCAGGTCTCACATTTAAATCTTTGATCCATTTTGAGTTTATTTTTGGATATGATGTAAGAAGGTGGCCTAGTTTCATTTTTTGCATGTATCTGTCATTTACCCGAAACCATTTATTGAAGAGATTCTCTTTACTCCATTGTATATTCTTGCCTCCTTTGTCATAGATCAATTAACCATATAGTAGTGGGTTTATTTCTGTACTCTATTCTATTCCTTTGATCTATGTTTTGGTTTCTATACCAGTACCATCGTGCTTTGATTACTTTCACCTTTTAGTATAGTTTGATGTCAGTAGCATGATACATCCAGCTTTGTTCTTTTTCAATATTTCTTTGGCTATTCAGGGTATTTTGTGGTTCCATATAAATTTTAGGATTATTTGTTCCATTTCTGTGAAAAATACTGTTGGTATTTTGATAGGGATGGCATTGAACCTGTAAATTACTTTGTGTAGTACGGATATTTTAACAATGTTAATTTTTCTTATCCTTAAGTACAGTATATCCTTTCATTTATTTGTATCTTCTTCAATTTCTTATAGTTTTCTGAGTAGAGGTCTTTTACCTCTTTGCTTAAATTTATTCCTAGGTATTTTAATATTTTCGATGCAATTATAAATAGGATTGTTTTTAAATTTCTCTTTCTGATATTTTGTTTTTGGTGTATAAAAATGCATCCAATTTCTGAATATTAATTTTGGTTCCCTCTACTTATTATTCATTTATTCATTTATTAGTTTTAACAGTTTTTTGGTGACATCTTTAGGGTTCTCTCTATATCATGTCTTATGCAAATAATGACAGTTTTACTGTTTCTTTTCCAATTCAGAAACCTTTTGTTTATCTTGTCTAATTGCTAGACAAGAACTTTGGCTAGAACTTTCAATACTGTGTTGAATAAAAGTGGTGAAAGTGGACATCCTTGTTCCTGGTCTTGAAGAAAAAGCTTTCAGCTTTTCATTGTTGAGTATGATGTAAGCTGTGGGTTTGTCATATATGGTCTTTATGTTGAGGTACGTTTCCTCTATTCCTACTTTGCTGAGAGTTCTTATTCCATAATTTCTTCTTGATCTGATATTTACTCTTCTGATTTTCTTTTAATTCTAATCATTTCTTGTCAAGTTTCCGTGTGATGTACTTTTAGTTTTGTTCTTACACACTGTAGAACTATGAAAGCCAATATTCTTGTGGGTTTTATTTGCTATTAATTTGACATGCTTTATTTTATGTATGTACTTTCATAAAAGTACTCTTCTGGTACCTAATAGAGGAGACATTTTAAAAAATATTTTTCAGGCTGGGAATCTACCTGCAAAAGTGAAGACTTAACTTCAAAGCAGGACATTTACGAAGCACAGTCATCTCAGAAGATAATAGAAAAATTGACAAGCTGTGGCCTTGAGTACTCCTGTTTCAGAGAAGAGCGGAAATGTGAGGGCCCTTTTGAGAGGCAACCAATGAATCAGAAGGCATGCTTCAAGGAAGAGACAATCAATCATGAAAAAGCCTTTGTTGATGAAAGACAAGAATGTAACAAATCTTGGGAAAGTCTCCATTTGAACACACTGCTTCATACACAGCAGATAATTCCAAAAGAGGAGACAGTACATAAATATGATACATATAAGAAAAGCTCTAAAAAAAATTTAATGGCCATTAAACCCAAGAATACCTATACAGAGAAGAAACTTTTGAAATGTAATGACTGTGAAAAAGTTTTCAGCCAGAGCTCATCCCTTATTCTTCATCAAAGAATTCATACTGGAGAGAAACCCTATAAATGTGTAGAATGTGGGAAAGCCTTCAGCCAGAGATCAAATCTTGTTCAACATCAGAGGATTCATACTGGGGAGAAACCCTATAAATGTAAGGAATGTAGGAAAGCTTTCAGTCAGAATGCTCACCTAATTCAACATCTGAGAGTTCATACGGGAGAAAAACCTTATGAATGTAAGGTTTGTAGGAAAGCTTTCAGCCAGTTTGCCTACCTTGCTCAACATCAGAGAGTTCATACTGGAGAGAAACCCTATGAATGTATTGAGTGTGGGAAAGCATTTAGCAATAGATCATCCATTGCTCAACACCAGAGAGTTCATACTGGTGAGAAACCTTATGAATGTAATGTGTGTGGGAAAGCATTTAGCCTTCGTGCATACCTTACTGTACATCAGAGAATACATACTGGAGAGAGACCCTATGAATGTAAAGAATGTGGGAAGGCCTTCAGCCAGAATTCACACCTTGCTCAACATCAGAGAATTCATACTGGAGAAAAGCCTTATAAATGTCAGGAATGTAGGAAAGCATTCAGCCAGATTGCATACCTTGCTCAACATCAAAGAGTTCATACTGGAGAGAAACCCTATGAATGTATTAAATGTGGGAAGGCTTTTAGCAATGACTCATCTCTTACCCAACATCAGAGAGTTCATACTGGAGAGAAACCTTATGAATGTAATGTTTGTGGAAAGGCTTTTAGTTATTGTGGATCCCTTGCCCAACATCAGAGAATACATACTGGAGAGAGACCCTATGAATGTAAGGAATGCAAGAAAACTTTTAGGCAGCATGCACACCTTGCTCATCATCAAAGAATTCATCTTGGGGAGTCACTCTCACCACCTAATCCAGTCAATCACCAAGTCCTGTAGACCCTATCATAAATATTTCTGGAATTTAAATTCTTTTCTCCATCTTTAATGCCATTCTTGTCTAAGATCCATCTCACTGGGATCACTGCTATAACTGTCTGATAGGTCTTCCTGTATCAACTTTTGGTTTCCTTAAATTCATTTCCCACCATACACCCAAACTGATCTTTTTGAAATGTAAGAATACACACATCACTGCCTCCAATTAAAATGTTTTTTTGCTTGCTATTGTTCTTAAGCTAACATCCACGGTCTTTAAAATTTCTATGAGGTGCTTTATTATCTCGTTCTTATATACCTCTTATTTTATTCCAGTCTCTCTCTCTGGGCACTAGGCACTTACCAGGATGAAAAGCTTACATTCTAGAAAATTATAGCTCTGCTACTACTATAGGATTGTGTGATTTTGAGTAATTTGCTTGACTCATCTAAACCTCAGGGTTTTCTTTAATTCTTAAAATAGGGATAATAAAGGGTACTGTATTTTAGAAATGTTAAATGGAATAGTGTCTGTTGTAGATTGATCTATATTAAGTAAGATATTTGCATGTAAATTACTTCATATAGTACATAAAATATAGCACATATTCAATAAATGATAGCTAACATGTATTGAGTACCTACTATGCACCAAGCAGTGTTCTACATACTCAGCATATATTAACTCACTTCTCACAGCTAAAACAAGGTTCCTTAATGGACAAAGTAGAAATAACAGATCAGAATTGGGAAACTTAAAAATTTTAGAATATAAGTGGAATCTTTGTATTCTAGGTGAGTAATCAATATAGACATAAGTAGTAGAAATATAACACTTATAACCAGTTTTAGGGAGTTTCCAGAGAGAATGAATTGGATAAACCCATTAAAGTGAGGATTTACAGAATATAGAGTTTACATTTAGATAAAAGAATAGAGAGTATCTCAACTCCCCTCCCCCCCAAAAAGCAAAACAAAAGCTGATAAATATATAAATTCATACTGTCTCATAAAAAGGCTCAATTAGTTTTATGATTGAATCTGAGTAATTTTAAAAGCATTTAAACTTTCACCCTATAGAAAAAGTGTAATGTTTATAATTTTGTTTAATTCAGTGATTGTAAAAAGGGGATTTAGGGAAGAAATCTACAGATATACACACACACACAGACACACACATGTCTGTAGATATATATACACATATGTGTGTGTATGTATATGTATGTGTGTATATGTATGTGTACATATATATATATATATGTATATGTATATAAAATTTCATTCAGTGATTATTGAGTAGCTACTATTTGCCAGAGACTGTCACTGTTTTAGGTATGAGGAGACAACAGTGATCAATCCAAAGATTATGTCTTCATGGAGTTAAATTCCAGAGGGTGAGAGTGTTAATACTTAAATATAATCATAGATCTTCAGACCCAGAAAACTGAAGGCTAATGATGTAAATTGAGTATTATATAGTCTAGACTGAAGAGACTCAAGATAAAGTTATTCTTAATTCACAAATTCACTACAATTCTAACCAAAATTCTCAAATGGGCCTTTTTGCCCTTTATTTTCACAACTTTGTTCTGAAATTCATCTATGAAGTATGAATTCTTAACAAAAGCAAGAAAATTATTGAATATGATCTATTTGTAGAAATTTTGCATAAGATAAAGATGGTTTATACCAGTAAAGAAAGGATGGATTTGGAGGTAGTTGAATAATTGACTATATACATCAATAGTGCTTAAAGGAAATGCAAATAAGGCTACAGTGATGATTTCAAGATCATCACATTGGCAAAAGCATTACATTGCCAATGATTGGAAAGATGTACAGTAATGGGAATTTTGATACAGTGTTATTTGGAAACAATTATGTTTAAGATAATTAGGCAATACCTAGTAAAGTTGAAGATGTGGGTACTCTGACCCAGCAAATCCACCCTTAAACCTCTACAGAGTCTCTCGTGTGTTCGGGGAGACATACATGAAGGTCCACTTCAGCACTGTGAGAATGAAAGTTGAAAGCAATCAAAATAGCTGCTAGGGCGAATAAAAGTTAGAACTCAAGTTGAATGAACTAGAATAAACTAGAGATACTTATGTCAACATGGACAAATCTCAAAACCAGTGAAATTGAAATAGCATTTTGTATGATGTGGTACTACTTATTTATATAACATTTGAAAACATGCAAATCATACTATATTTTTCATTGCTAAATACTATATGGAAATAGTATAATAACATTCATGGAAATAATCAAATTCAGAACAATGGTGACCTCTGGGGAGGGAGAACGAGATTGAGGGAATGATGCTAAGGATACAAATAACTTATTATTTTTTTTAAATAAGCAAATAAGACCAATTCTTATAATTTGATAAGGCTGGTTATGGGTTTATAGGTAGGTTCTTGTTCTTTGTGTCTTTCTGTATATTTAAACTGTTTCATAATAAAAATGTTTAAATGTTTGCTTATGTCAGTTATTTACTTACTGTACCTCAGGTGTGCCACTGTTGTTACCATCCATATCACCATTTCTTCAGAAAGAAACTCACTTCCAGATACAATCACTGTTGTCAATTGACTATACTTCCATGTGTCAAAGTTTTGAGAGTGACTGTGTTTTTATGCTGAGCGTTTTATAGCCTACTTATTACATGTTTTTCCCCAGCATTCTTTTCCTCCCAACTTCATCAAAGTGATCAACAAAATAGGATATATTTAAGGTTTACAATATGATGTTTTGATTTATGCATTGTGAAATGATTAGCACAGTCAAGCTAATGTGTTCATCACTTCACATTGCATTGTGTGTGTGTGTATGTGTGTGTGTGTGTTGAGAATGCTTGAGATCTACTCTTAGCAGATTGCAAGTATACAATACATTATTTTTTACTGTGTCTGGCTTATTTCACTTAGCATAATGTTCTCCAGGTTTATCCATGTTGTTGCAAATAGCAGGCTTTCCTTTTTTAAGACTGAATTACACGCACGCACACCACATTTTCGTAATTCATCTGTCTATAGACACTGAAGTGGTTTCTCTCTCTCTCTCTCTCTCTCTCTCTCTCTCTCTCTCTCTCTCTCTCGATATCTATATATAGAGAGAGATCTATATCTATATGTATATATAGAACTGGGTCATATGGCAGTTCTATTTTTAGTTTTTTGAGGAGCTGCCATACTGTTTTCCATAATGGATATACCAATTTACATTCCCACCAACAGTGTACAGAGGTTTCCTTTTCTTCACATCCTTGCCAACGCTTGTTATCCTTTGACGTTAAAAAAAAATAACCATCCTAATAGGTGCGAGGTGATACCTCTTTGACCTCTTTGTGGTTTTTATTTGAATTTCCTTGATAATCAATGAAGTTGAGCATATTTTCATGTACCTCTTGGCCATTTGTATGTCTTCTTTTAAAAAATGTCTTTTTGGGTTCTTTACCCATTTTCAATTAGTTTTTATTTATTTTTTGCTACTGCGTTGTATTAGTTTCTTATATATGACTTGCAAATATTTTTTTCCATCCGTGGGTTGCCTTTTCATTTCATTGATTCCTTTGCCATGCAGAAACTTTTTAGTTTGATGGAGTCCCACTTGTTTATTTTTGCTTTCGTTGCCTGTGTTTTTTGTGTCAAATCCAAAAAATCATTGCCAGGACCAATCTTGGAACATTTTCCCTATGTTTCCTTATAGAGTTTTATGTTTTCAGGTCTTATCTTTAAGTCTTTAATATATTTTGCCTTGATTTCTGTGTGTGGTACAAGATAAGAATCTAATTTAATTCTCTTGCATGTGGCTATCCAGTTTTACCAACAGCATTTATTGAAGAGTCAATCCTTTTGTCATTGCGTATTGGTGACTTTGTCAAAAATTAGTCAATTGCATATATAAAAATTAATCCATTATCATTCTTGATGTTTACAGGGCACCATTCTGTATCATGATTTATTAATTCCCTGTTGTTTCTAATCTAAATGTCTAGAATTTTCATGGACCAGTCACTATCCTTTCAGAACTTGGTTTTTCAGATGTTAAAGGGAGATAATTCTACCTTTGTTATAGAACTGTTACATGAATTTATCTAACACATTAATGCTTAGCAATACTTAATGGGAGCTATTATTATTTTATAAAATGTATGGAGAAAGGGGAAAGGAAACTGGAGAAGGCAAATGATATGAGGCTATTACAGTATAAATGGGGTGGAGACTGAAATTTACTTAAGATAGGTATATAGCATACAGGAACAAAGATACACAGTAACTGGATTTTAAAAAATGTATACCTAAATCAACTTAGTCACTATAGTTAGTGCAGCAGAATTTTTGTTTTGGGCCTTTAGCAGTAGTTTGAGTGCTTTATAGTGGTTAAGAAAATATATGAATCTATATATAGAATTTAAATACTTTTGTCATAGGTCCCAAGGATCTGAAGTATCACTGCACTGCTTAAATCTTATGCTCATAAATAGTTCTGAGGTAGGCTGTATTATCCAGGCAGCCAGCTGTTGAACAGGAATATACCCCATAGATTTTAGATTGACAAGTGGATGAAAAGGAGAGACTCCAAATTTAAACTTTCCAGTACCTAAGGTGATTCTCTCTTCAACTACCTCTATCCATATTGAATAAACAAAAAAAATTAGATCAGAAACTGTTGAACAGTTAAAATAACTCCAAGCTCTTGCATTCTTTTGTCTAGAGACTTTACAATCTCTGATGGGTTCCTTCTCAGCTATGTGAACTAACTAGATCAGTACTGCCCAATAGAAATATGATATGAGCCACATAGGTAATTACAAATTTTCTAGTAGTTGCCACATTAAACAAGTAAAAAATAAGTGAATTTAATTTTAAAATATTGTATATAATAAACTATATATAAACTATTTCAACATGTAATCAATATAAAAATACTACTAGCCATTCTTTAATTCAGACTAGCCATTTTTCAAGTGCTCAGTAATCACACATGACAAATAGTTAACAATATTGGACAGCTAGAACTAGACTTTTATCAAATGTAACAGGCAGAGAAATATTGATATATATATGAAAACATTCCAGGTTTGTAAAACACGCAGACCAGTCAGAACAAATGGCAGCTAATTTTTCAAAAGCTCTAATTGTAGTCTCAGTGCAGTAAAAAGGGAGAGCTCGGGGGAAAAAAGCAAGAAACAAAAACGAAAAAGTAAATGATTAGAATACATACTGTTGAACTTTTGAATATATGTCTGATATATTAAAAATAAAAGGGTAGGGGTACCAATAACATCTGAAGAAGTAAAATGTCAGGAAGGGAAAGCAGAAGGGGACTTAACCTCACCAAAACAGTACTACATTCTTATGTTTTTCTCTTTCATTGTGTCTCTCTGAATGCCTTGCTCTTGTGTGGGACTATGTCTGAAAAAACTAAAAAACAAGAGTAGACAAAAGAGATTGTCTTTCAAAGGGAGAGTAAATAAAAGCTCTTTTAAGAGTAATTTGGGAAATTCTTTACAAATATGAAATACAAGTACCCCAATCCATGTCCTTGTGTATGTACATATCTTGTATATTATAAACCAGTATAAGAAAAAGATCCACCCTTAGTAGTGACAAATGAAATATAAATGGCAGTAAAAAGTATATAAAGAAAGAGCTGGATAGAAAACCAAGTACAATTTGATTAATATTGTATTTTTTTATTAAAATTAAAAGTTTTTTCAATTACAGTTGATATTCAGTATTATGGTATTTTCAGGTGTACAGCATAGTGGTTAGATATTTATATAACTTACAAAGTGATCTTCCAATAGGCCTCCACCTCACACCATATATAGTTATTACAATATTATTGAGTATATTTCCTAAACTGTACTTTACATTCCTTTGACTATCTTGTAACTGCCAATTTGTACTTCTTCATTCCTTCACCTTTTTCACTCTACCCCCACCCCACTCCCAACTGGCAACCATCAAAATGTTCTCTGTACCTATGAGTTTCTGTTTTATTTGTTCATTTGTTTTTTAGATTCCACATACAGGTGGAATCACATGGTATTGTCTTTATCTATTTCACTTAACATAACACCCTCTAAGTCCATCCATGTTGTTGCAAATGGTAAGATTTTATTCTTTTTTAGGGCTGAGTAATATTCAACTGTATATAGGTATCATATCTTCTTTATCCATTTGTCCTTTGACTGGAGCATTTAATTGATAGGTATGCAGTTATCGCCATTTTATTAATTGTTTTCGTTGTTCTCTGTTCCTTTCTCGTGTGTTTGCTCTCTTCTCTTGTAGATGGCTTTCTGTAGTGTTGTATTTTAATTCCTTTCTCTTTATTTCTTGTATTATCTCATAGATTTTTGGTTTGTGGTTTTCATGTGCTTTGTGTTTATAGCAGTCTATTTTAAGTTGATGGTTGCTTAAGTTTGAACACATTCTAAAATCACTAACACTTTTACTCACCCTCTCCATGTTTATGTTTTTGTCATTTTTTACCTCTTTTGTGTGTGCGTTCATTTGTATCCCTTAATTTACTGTTATAGTTACACATAATCTTCCTACTTTTGACCTTTAACCTTTGTACAACCTTTAGTATTGGTTGAGCCACTGCTTCTATTATGTGCTTGCCTTTGTTGGTGAGAATTTTTTCTTTGCAACATTTTCTTATTCATATTTTTTATTTTTTTTCATCTTCTTAAAGAAGTCCCTTTAACATTTCTTGTAATAATGGCATTTTCTTATTGGGAAGCTCGTTCTCTCTCCTTGAATTCTAAATGATAGCCTTGCAGAGTAGAGTAATCTTGGTTGTAGGTCTTTGCTTTTCATCACTTTGAATATTTTATGCCAATCGCTTTTGGTCTGCAAAGTTTCTGTTGAGAAATTAGCTGATTGTCTTATGGAAGCTCTCATGTAGGTAACTAACTGCTTTTGTCTTGCTGCTTTTAAGATTCTCTCTTTGTATTTAACCTTTGGCATTTTAATTATGATGTGTCTTGTTGTGGGCCTCTTTGGATTCATCTTCTTTGGAACTCTCCACATTTCCTGGGCTGGCATGTCTATTTTCTATACCAGGTTAGGAAAGTTTTCAGTCATTTCTTCAAATAAGTTTTCAATTCCTTGCTCTCTTCTCCTTCTGGTACCTTTATGATGCAAATATTGTTACACTTGATGTTGCCCCAGAGGTCCCTTAAACTTTTCTAATTTTTACATTCTTATTTTTTATTTTTCACTACCTTGTCTTCCAAGTGGCTGATTTGATCCTCTGCTTCATCTAATTCAGTGTTGATCACATCTAATGTATTCTTCATTGCAGTTATTGTAGTCCACATTTCTGACTGGTTCTTTATTGTCGTTTCTATCTCCTTTTTATGTTTACAAGCTCTTTGTTGAAATCCTCACT